AGTTCACAATCACAGATGTGAACAAAGTCTTATGATAGGTGATCCATATTTTAGGGGCCTGTCCGGGGATGAAAGGGAGAATACTGCACCTGTTGTGAAGGCTACATCTGAGGTTGGCGATGTTTTGGAATATGCTGAAGAGAATTTTAATAAAATTTTGACGAGCACAGATGTGTATAGTCTACGTAAGGATGTGAGACAAGGTAAGTGATGCAGTTTAAAGTTATTTTGCAAGCCATGCCTTTGAGATCAGACGTTATGCGCATAATAAGGCAAAGCGGTCAGGGGGTTGAATACGTAGATTCGAATACAGGGATAACTAGCAGAATTCGCTTCGCCCTGGATTCACAGGTGCAGTTATATCCAGACGCATTCATTGTATATGTACTGCCGACACAATTGAAGAAGAAACACAGCACTTCGCTGAAATATTGTTAGACAACAATTACCCATTGAGATTCATCAGGCTCTCCCGGTCCAATCAGCTCCAAAAAAAGAAGTTTATTTATTTTTGTCGTTCAGGGATCATCAACAAAGACTAAAGCGCACAATTAATAGAAATTACAATGCAACCAGACTTAGCTTTATAGAGAAAACGAGAATTATGCTGTCCTGTAAAACCTCACAGAATCCGAACGATACTGTCACATCCCATTGTGGTTACTAATTTACATGTATGTATGGACAGACGTACGCAGGGAGGACCCGTAAGTCTAGAGGACATATCCCAAAGTGGCTGTAACAACGAATGAAATCGCCGGATACAACTGATCCCGTAAATGGATGTCCAACGTCATCTATAGCTAAGTACATTATAGAGACGTGTCATAAGGTCGATTTCAATAATGTCTTTACACCCATATATATAACAAAGTTGGGTCACATACTTAAATTCGTTGAAGCCTTGGCCATCAAATAGCTTAAACCTGTCTTATGTGTCCAAGGATTATTTGTTATTACTTTGAACAAGAGAAGAAGGAAGATTTTTACGGACATCCCAAATGGTGACATTAAAAGCCTCATGGGCGATACGAATGCCAGATAAACAGAGAGAGGACTCATCATGGGTCGAGAGGCTCTCAGGGAAATGAATGAGAACGGGAAATTATTTGCAAACTTCTACGCTTTCAATGATTTGATGAATGGAGGCAGCGTGTAAAAACACAAGGACAAAGCAACATGGATTTCGCCTGACGGACATGCCACAAACCAGATGGATTTCATCTCAATCTCAAGAAGGTGGAGACGCAGCCTGCTGGACACAAAGTAGAGAAGGGGAGCAGATGTGGGATGAGATCATCATGTATTTCAAAGAACCTTCAAGGTAAAGTTGAAATCCCCAAAAACAACTGGAGACAGGCTACAACTCAAGTTCAACACTCAGAAACTGAAGGAAAAAACCACAAGAGATTTCTTCACTAGAGATCAGATTGGAGCAAACCAGGAGACACTATGGGGCACGTGGAAGAATATACGAACTCTCTGAGGATGATGTTCAAGAGAAGGTGTTCTAGGAAGGAAGAAGAGACAGGACAAGGAATGGCTCTCAACGGACACCTGGAAGCTAATCGAGGAGAGGACGATGGTGAAAGAGAAGATGACTCAATGCAAAGATGCACAACAGAAGGAGAATCTGAGTTCAATGTACACTGCACTGAATAAAGAGAGGAGTGAAGAAGAGTGCTAGGAGAGACAAAAGACAATTCTACGACACATTGACTGGCAACTGAAGCAGAACAGGCAGATCGCAGGTAAAAGAGACCTCAGGACATTATATCAGATAACCAGGTATATCGCTATCCGGAAAGAGATCAACTCAGATGATGAAACCAATAAAAGATGCTCAAGGGAACCTGATTACCAAGGAGGAGAAACAAATCAAACAATGGGTTGCTCACTTTAAAGGACTCTTGAATCGACTGTCACCACCAACAGCGTTCACAGAACTGCCTACCAGTGGACACCAATCCTCCAACGAAAGCAGAAATCTTGAATGTGATCACGCTACTGAAGGTCCGCCGGGAAGGTAGCAGGACCAGACGAAATTCCGCCACCCCTTAAAGCAATGAAAATGGATCTAGAGACTGCAGCAGATGTGCTCACGCCATTATTACAAAAGGTTTGGAAGGAAGGAAAGGTACCTACTGATTGGAAGAAAGGCTGCCTTCTTCACTTGTCTTAGAAGCACTGTTTCAACCACAAGTAGTCGGAACGGATTAAGCCTGAATCAGCAATGTAGGATAGGCCATCAACAACCTGAAACCAGCTTGCAAATTTTATACACTCAGTCAACATAAACAACAAGATTCGGATTCTCAACACCAATGTCAAGTCGGTCCGTCTATACGGGTCAGAAACTTGGCCAGCGTGTAACGAAAAGGATTTCCAACAGGCCAGTGCAGACTTTCATCAACAGCTGTCTTTGATGGATCCATACTGAAGATCAAATAGCTGGCAAGAAAGAATTAGTAACAAGAAACTCTGAGAACAAACCAACAGGCGAGAACCGATTGCTCAACAAATATGTAGGAGAAAATGGAAATAGATTAATCGGGCATACATTGAGGAGGCCGTCGAATAACATAGCGTGCCAAGCAGTCTAGTGGAATCCAAAGGGGAAGTGACGAGGGGCTCGTCCTAGGGTAACATGGAGGAAGTTGTGTGAGGAAGAGATGAGAGAATTCGGGTAATCGTAGAGCCAGCCAGCTGATGAATAGGACAGCAGAAAATAGAAGAAAGTGGAGATGTGTTGTTGAAGCCCTACATTCCACTAAGAACCCAAGGGAATAATAATAACAGTAATAATAACAATTTTTACCCCCTTCTTTGCTTAGTTTTTCTTTCTAACCCACACCCTTACGTCATCTCTCTACCCATTATTTGTGACCTTGACCTACAGACACACACACTTGCCTTCTATATCAATGTGTATAACAAGTACTCGTGTATGCGATCAGAATATCCGAAATGTGTTGAGCAAATACGCACATTATACATTTCCGATAATAAACTACACATCAAATAAAGCCTGTATGCAGTGAATAACCAATAATTCGAGTTACCAGTCAACAAATGAAAAGAAAAAGACTCTAGTATTTCATTTTTAGACGCCCTTATGACCAGAAAAAAGGACGGCACAATAAGAAGAAGTGTTTATAGAAAACCTACATCAACGGGCCAGTACACACATTTTCTCAGCTTTGTGCCCTTGAAATACAAACGCAATCTAATAAAGTGCTTGGTCCACAGAGCAAGAGAGATTTGCTCGGATGAATGTCTTGACGAGGAACTTAACAATATTAAACGGTTGCTGAGTGAGAATGGTTATCCAGAAACGTTTATTGATAAGAACCTGAATCTGAAACCAAAGCAGCCCAAGTTACCAACAGTTCCAAAAAAGGCCTTATTCTTACAGATGCAGTTCTTAGGAGACAACACCAGTGAGATACTAGTACAGTGCCTTAGAAATGCTGTAAAAAGAGCATTCTCTGCTGCTCAATTACGCGGTATGTTTAAAACCACTCCTCTTCTGCGTTCGAGAATCAAAAAACAAACTGCCTAATTTCGCCTCTTCCATGTGTATATACCAATTTAACTGCTCCTGTGGAGCGTGCCAGTAACATAGGCCGTACAATTAGGTGTGTTTCTCGTCGCATTTCTGAACATCATCCTGTGTGGTTGGTTACGTAAAGGACAAACAAAATCTATTCACATAGCGCTATTCTATCTCATCTTGTGGATATAGAACACAAGATTGACGTCACTTACTGCATACCTACGAATTTCAATTTCGCTTTAAGAGTTCGACTACTAAATATTGCTGACGCTGGCTGTTGGGATCCACGTTAAGAAGCCTTATTTATCTGTCCAAAAGAAGTTAGTTCAGTCATTATCATCATTACCTTGGCCATCCAGGTTTGAATAATCCAGAATTTTTGTTGAATTTCCCTAATTTTAGTTGATATTCTATTCGCTGTTATATCTTTATTATTATTATAATTTAAGTATCCTTAATGAACTGTAATTCCATTGTGATCTTACTTAACAAATCGATATTATGTAAAAAACACTAATATTGTTATTGACTACTAATCTAGAATATTCTGTGTATGTAAACATTATTATTATTATTCCTTCACGTTCCCAGTGGAACATAGGGCTTCAAGCTAGAGGCTTGAAGTTTCTGTAGCAGTGGTGATTATTTTTACAGGATGTAGTAGCTAGCCTCATGCCCAACCTTTCCTCTTTACCAGCATTTATTTCTGGCTTAGCGAGTTAAAGGAGTGCGTCGGCCGGGGATCGAACCCCGGACCATGTGCATGGTTGGAGAGCGTCCTAACCGCTATACCACTGACGCACTGTATATAAACATATATGTATATAATTGTAGAGCCAGAAGAGGAAATTCTCGAAAAGGATATTCTTCGCTCAATTATTTTGTATTTTATAGATGTCTGAAAGAATATTTTTGCTTTATTAAAGCCACTTGAGACAAAAAAAAGAAGAGACCAGTTATATCTTCTTCAATTTTTTTTACTCACATTTAATAGAATCAAAGTGAGTAGTTATTATTTAATATTAATTTATGTGCATAAATAATATCAATAGAAAATACATTTGTTTGTTTAAATGCTTTGAGAGAGAGGGAGATAGGCAGCGATTGTCTACTCACTCATTCTATGAATCATAATGAATCGATATTGAACATAGAATTATATCATTTCATGATCGAGGGTTTGCTTTCCTTTTCATTTTCTGATCTTAATGTTGACTGCCGAACACCACCTTTGCTTATTATAAAAAGTGGGAAATAAGCAGGAGACATATGAGATTCTCAGGTAAAAGCAAGCGCTGATATCAACAAGCAACAAAATGGGGGAAAGAAAGGATTTGACAGGGTTTACAGTTATATCAGTTGATGAGGCAGGAAAAAATATCAATGACCATCCTAACATCATAACAGTAAGTATTAAACAAACAAACAAACAAAAAACACAATCTTAAATAGGGATTGCACATTCAAACGGACATAGACAAAAAATTAAATCACTTCGATACAACTGGAAATGATTCGGTGGATTAGAGATAACATAACGACTAGCCCCGCCTTCAAGAAGAAACTTTTGATGATGAGTCGTCGTCAGCGGTGATGAATATAGGGGGGTGTTTTTCTTTGAAGAAATATTTCGAGGCTTTTGTTGTTGTTGTTGTGCATTCTGTCCGCCATCTTGTAGCTTTTGTTGTTGTTGTTCACTCATTGGTTCTGGTGAATTCTCTTCAACACTCAGAGATTTTCGATTCGCCTGTAATGAATGTTTACGCAACATTCTGTCAACAGGTAGAGCACAAGTGCTTAAACGTCGAGGTGGCGGTACACCGAATTCTGAATTCCACACTTTTTGATTATCGCTTGGCGGACTGGAGTGTTTTTTTGTCAGTGTTTCATTCAAGGTATCTAGTCTCAGGCAACTTGGAACAGTGACTAAACGATTTAGTGAATCCGGTGGTGGATTACAAGAGAGACGATAAATGCCAAGACATAAAATCCCGTGTTCTCTAATAGCATGACAAAATAAATCACCATAACAACGGAATAAACGTTTATTGCTATTGCTATTATTATCACCATCATTATTAGAAGGCTTTAGTAAACGTGGATCAATCAATGGAATTTGTTCAATCCTCGGCCGTTGACGTGTTTCATACAAGCCAGGAAAAAATAATAACGAAACTCGATTCTTTTGAATTTTATTACTCGTCGCTGAACGTCGTTTACCACCACCACCTTTTGTCTGCTGCCAATCATGAAAACCAATCAGACCACCACCTTCAGCTAACCATTGTTCTAAAGCAGGTGTAACACCGCCAGTGACAAGATGACGTATCAGTGTCATTGAATTACGATCAAAATATGCAGTACTAGCAAGAACATCAAGAACAGAACTAGTGAATGCTATACCTCTAGCAAATGGTGCTGTCAACGATGCAGTGATCTGTACACCACCTGAATGATCTGGATCCAGGTAGTGGATATTATTATCGGTCATCAGTTCAGTAATCAATGGGATCTCTGCACCACTACGACGTTTAATATTTTTTGAAAATATGTTGCTGTTGCTGTATCGAGAAAATGTTGCAAATTTCATAGCTCTTATATTCAGTGTACACAGTATCACTTCTTTGTCAAGCATATATGGATCGTCGAGTTTAATTGTTCCTCTTGAACTCAATATAACACAAACTGATGCATATTGTATATGCGCTGCTCTTAAATCTGCTCGAGACAATGGACTACCGGCGAGTGTATATACTTTAGGGAAGTTGGCAATATTACACCATTCACGTTGTAGGAAATTTTTATCCCCTAAAAAAACAATTGTCCTCAGTTGTGAGGAATGATAATTACTGGCTCTTAATGGCATAACAAATGAATGTAAGCCAAGAAGAGGTGCATCTGGCTCGGCAAGAATACATACAAGGATATGATTGTATAAATCTTGTGATTTATTGATTGTTGATGAATTTGATGTGATTAGTTTATCCTCGAATTTTTGATATTTACAATAGTAGTACATACCTGAAAGAGACAAAGAGAGAGAGAGCAGGCAAAATAAACGGAATATACAAGCAATAAGATGCACTAAGAGCAATGATAATATTAATATAATAATAATCAAAAGTTGAAAAAGTCGATTTGAAGGACTTTTAATGCCGGTAAACATGTAACGACAGAAGACTACGGCAGGCAACAGATAGTGTATTGAGAAAATCAAGAGATATTTATCGATTTTATGTACATTATTACTCCTTATTATTAGCAGAGAAACAGCGTCTTCTGATTGGTTGTTTTCCTGCTGAAGGTTATTCTATCATTTCTTTGAAGGTCAGACCATATATCTGCTAATCGTATCCGCCCACGCTAAGTTTGCTGTGATTGGTTGTTGAGTTAGTCTTTGTTCTTGTTTTTTCTTTCTCATGACCTCGATTCGGGACGTAAATATTGATGTAAATTGCTGTCTACCAATTTCGGTTGGCAGACAGCTCTCACCACAAACACACCCGGTTGTGAGTACTCAACTGAAAGACAAAGTACCTAGGATAGCCACACCTTATTTTATTTATCAATTCGATTGTTTGAAAGATTAACTTTAAGTGAGAAACAACCAATCAGAAGACTGTGTTTGTTTGCTTAACTAAACTATAATAATGTACATGAAAATATACAAATATGCTTTGATTTCCTTAATAAACGATCTGTTGCCTGACTCTTGCCTTCTGTCGTTACATTACTATCTCCTGTTTAACACAGACAACTTTGTACTAGCCACTCACCTGACACCTTTTATAACCTTGAACTGACCTGTCAATTTTCCTACCCCACACTCTACAAATCTATTATGATTAATCACCACCATTGTCTCCCGTTTTAAAATATTTTGTAATCGATTTCAGCCTAGCACGACGTTTGTCACACAAATACGACTATTTATTTTGACACGCCATAACAACTAATCTATTATTCTACGTTAGAAATGTATCCGCAGCATAACTGGCCTTTATTGTAACGACAGTAAATATTATATTTTATAATTGTAAGAACCTGAAGAGAAATTATTGAAAACAATATTCTTCGTTCAGATTGACTTTTAATTCATTTTGATATGGGAATTTTGCACACTATCAAAACATAAGAATATTTCATATACATCACAGAAATGTCTGACCAATCTCCATTGCTAGCGGTCTTATAATACACATTTGAATAAATAAGCCACCCACCCCCTTTATATCGCTTAAAACAAAAAAAATAGTTACAAAATTTACCTGTAATATCAAATTCATTTGCCGGTGAGATAACAGACATTCTTGACTGGATTTCTGTATCACTCACTCGTCTAGGTTGTTGTGTTTCACTTTCTGCATCATGATAGTGTTCTTCTGTATCATAAGCTGACTGTAGGCTGCTTCTACGCGACGGTGTTCTATTCCTAATAGTCACTGCAACTGCAGTGGATTCATTCACTTGTTCATGCTTACGAAGTAACACAGGATTTTGTTCTCCACTGATAGCTTCATTTTCTTTTTCCATCGCAATTGGAGAATTAGTGGTTGGTGTTTTCTCAGACTCTTCTAATTCTGGTATTGCTGGACACAGATTTAAATTACTCAACATTTCTTCTTTATCACTTCGGTTGGACTTTGTTGATTGATAGTATGAATCCCGTTTCAATTTGAAAAGCGCGCTGGCGCGAACTTTTAAACTTGACTTTTGTGATTTCAATTGACATGAACATGGTTTAATGTTAGCTGTAGGATATTGTGTACGCGATGAATTATCATTATTATTGACATGACAGGTGAGACAATAAAACGAGACTTTATTAGCATTCTCTTGGGAATCACAAATAAAAAATCCTACACTACCATAATTAATAATGACATTTTTATCGAGAGTCGGTGAAACAGCCAGATAGTATTTATTCTCATTCATATCTTCATCGTCATAGTTATCTCCATTCTCATCATAGTCATCATCTTCATCTTCATTACTATCACCATCTTCTCCGCCTTCATCATCATCCTGCAAACGAACATTGATATGACCACCGGGTGAAGCGAAATCTCCAGATATTCTACTCACCAACTGTGGATCTTTATTCTCTGGTATTTTAGCCACAACAGCAATCAATAATAAGTCTAAATACTTTCGACAGAGGATAGCAGCATCAGTAAAGTGCAACCCGTCGAATGCCATTGAAAATTTCGCTGAATATATTTCCATACTAGCACCTTGTAGATAATTATACACCCAATTATCTGAATCTAGCAGTGTTAGTGCATTACTACTTTGATAGCCAATCGCCGATTCAGTATCCCAAAGTTTTGGTGATGTTGGTGCTGAATACTGCATTGAATTCGGTCTAGAGTCAGTTGCTGGTAGATGGTGGTGGTGGTGGACTCCACTATCCTTAGGTTTAAACAGCGATGTAACCATTCGTGGGAGTTTACTTAACCATTTCCTTGATTTTCTCTTCTCCTTACTAAAAGATGGAACCTGTGAACAATGCTGCCGACTGTCGGCAGTGGTAGTAGTAGTCAATGGTTTTGTTGTAGATGTAGGCGGTCTGCGTAGAACTACACTATTGGAAGTTGAAGCCAATGCATTCGCTTGTGGAGAAGGAGATTTATTATTCATGATGCTGCTGCGTTGTTTTGCCGCCACCGCAGCAGCCGCGGCTTTTGGTTGATTCACATAAATCTTGGCAAATTTTGCGGCTTCTTTAAGTCCACGTATAGAATGCATTGTAAACAAATTGGTGACAAGTGTTGAAAAACCTGGAGCAATACAACTTTGAGCTAAAAAGCCTAATTTCAATTCACTGAAACAAACGATTTCATCACCACTATCCCAATTCCAATAGGGACTGTTCAATAGATATGCCTAGTGAAATAAAGAGAAATCACAAAAAATGAAGGTCAAATTCAAAATCAGCCAGCTAAACAGTTTGGAAATTAAAAGTGTTCAAAACACAATGGTGCTTAGGAAATCAATCATAAATCCATGGTAAGTAGTACTGTGGTGAGAGCTGTCTGCCAACCAAAATTGGTAGACAGCAATTTACATCGATTTTTACGTCCCATATCTTGGTCATGAGAAAGTAAAAACAAGAACAAAGACTAACTCAACAACCAATCACAGAAGACTTAGCGTGGGCGGATACGATTAGCAGATATTATGGTCTGTCGTTCAAAGAAAGGGACACAAAGAGATGATAGAATAACCTTCAGGAAGAAAACAACCAATCAGAATAGGTTGCTTCTCTGCTAACAATAACAAATAATAATGTGCTTAAAAATCTATAAATATCTGTTGATTTTCTCAATAAACGATTTGTTGCCTGGTGCTTGTATTCTGTCGTTACATTTGGTGTCGCTGCCTAACAACAAATGGAAAGCCTATGCCCTGCAGTTTTTGAAGAAGGAAGCATATGGATCTTCTAGCAGGACTTCGAGGCTGTTGCGCTGTTGAGTGGCGTTCAAGACCTGTCAGCGATGAGGCTGTTACTTGGAACGCTGGCTGGGAGGTCAGGCGAAGGCAGCATACGAAAGTGTGAGGCGAAACACCAACGAATGCGTGACAGGGTCAAGCAAACAGCTTCCAAAGTGAGAAGGACCACACATGGTCACTGTGAGACGGGGCCACGTAGATACGATCGCAAATGTAAACAAAGAGAAACGAGTGAACGTCGGTGAGCGCCAGAATTCCAGACAGCAAGACAAACGAACAAAGCCACCAGAACCAAGAACACCGAACCAACTTTAGTCAGAAGTCTTTGATGGAGGAACGAGTGTGGTGAGAGCTGTCTGCAAGACAAAATTGTAGACAACAATTTACGTCTGTGTTCACGTCTCGAATCAGGGTCATGAGAAAAAAAAACAATAACAAAGCTTAACCTTGAGAAAATCACCAGCCAGTCACGTGGGTTAATATGATTCACAGATATATGACTTGATTTTCTCAGAAACGGCCACAAAGAGATGACAGAATAACCTTCAGCAAGAAAACAACCAATCAGAAGAGGTTGCTTCTCTGCTAACAATAACGTTACTAATAATGTACATAAAAATCTATAAATATCTGTTGATTTTCTCAATAAACGATCTATTGTCTGGCCTTTGTCTTCTGTCGCTACATTAGTCGTATACCACTCAAATTAACCGGCAATGCCGGCTAGCCTGACAGATCGAGGTGTTCTAATCACCAAACGGCGGCTAGTTCGTTTGTTTGCGGCCGAACTCATCACCTGTGTAACCCATTTCGACTCAGCGCTCAGACCAGACAGGCGAATCACTTCAGACCACCCGATGTCTGACTAACTCGATGGTATAAATGGCAATCTAGAAAGCTGGCATAACTGTATGATGCCATGCACTACTGACCAATTGAGGCGAGTAGATGTTTACCGCTCACACCAACCAGCTGGGCTTATCAGCCAAATAGAAGTAATGATCAGTTAGATCTTTCAGAGCAGAGGTCAGGGAGAGAGACGAGTCAGTTCTAACTGACTAGACTTCTATTCCATTATGGGTAAAATTTTAATCTGATAAAGTCTCACAGTGTTTGTCATACAGTAATATTTACTGATGACCACATTTCGAGCACAATTTATTACTGCTCATAATTATATCAAGGCTCTACTCACATAACTTTCTAACTTCGTTTATATAATTCCATAATTTCTCATTTCATCTTGATTGGATTGGTAGAAGTATCTTGTATATTTCCGGTATGCGTGATGGGTCATTTCTATTGCAACTGTAGGGTGTAGACTCGATGAACAAGGATTCAATAATCAACCCCTCTCTCGCTCTCCACCTACCTATATTACTTCTTAGAATTTTAACCCTCTCCAACCCTATTGTGTGTTAATGCATGCAGTGCAATCGTTGAGCTTTTTTCTAAATTACTTGTCTTCTCGGGGTCAAGCATTCTTACCTTAGCGAAATTTTTTTGTTCCAACAATCTGACTACTCCCGACCTACTAGTTTGAGCTATGTAGTTGACCTCAGTCACCGTCATCACAGGGTATTTTGTAAATTATATTATTTTGTCTAATTAGGTCAATCTACGGGGTCCTTCAGCTTACACAGCTTGTACTACCTGAGTGAGTTTGTAGGTTTGAATGCTACTCTAATTCCTGCATGGTTGACAATCCTACGTAGGGTCTCAGGTGTCCAATCCTTATATGGTAGAACTGTAGATGCCTTATATTCTCTCTTATTTATGTTACCATTATCATTATTAGTTTAACCGCTGTTTTCATTCTGCTTTTTGTCTTTTCTGGTATTCCTAATGCACCTCAAGCAAACTACAGACTTTTGTCAACAGCTGTCTTCACTCAATACTCAGCTCAAGATCAGATGGCCGGCCAGAAAAGATCAACAACAGGCACCTCTGGCAACGAACGAACCAACTCAGCAGGAATCAGTTGTGTAACAAATGTGCAGGAAGAAATGAAGTTGGATTGGATTGGCTATACTCTGAGAAAACAAGTCATCAAGTGAGTGACATCACACCTCAAGCCATTGCTCGAGTGGAACCCGACAGAATGGGAAACGGCGAGTTGGTCGTCAGTGCGAGGATGACATGGAGGAGCGGGTCATCCGATGAAAGCATGTGGGCAGACATGGAGCCAGGTGATGAAGACGTTGGCAGAGAACCGAACGCAATGGAGACGTTCGGCTGAAGCCCTATGTTACTCTAGGAACTAAAGGAAACAATAATAATAATAATAATATGGCCAGTGGTGGCTAGTGAGCATCAGATTATTTGTCAAGTTGGAATTCATGGACCCATTGGGTCGGGTCCCAGTGGCCAAATGCTCTACAAGCTCGCCTTGTATCTAGAAGTTCCTGGGTTTGAACTCTGGTGGTGGGTGCGTATTGCTGAAGAGCCCTAAACTAGGACGAAACAGCTGTCCAGTACTCCTAGGCTGGTTTTCCAATGGTTCTCTAACTGATGTCAAACTAGTGATCACTACCCACTGAAAACCAACGCCTGGAAATTCTAAAGTGATGAAAAAGCAGACGACAATTTTCAAGTAAATTCAACTAGAAATAAAAATTCTCACCTTATTTTCTGTTTGCAGCAGTTGAACAATCACTCGAACATGACTGGCAAAATTTTTCACAGCAATAACACGCATTATATTCTCTGCATCAGTTTGATGCGGATCAACAGTTGTCGCAGAAGCCAATATAAGACAAGCGTCAGCACTTTCCATTTTTACACGTTGTAAATCTGCATGATCCATTACAGTTCCCTGGAAAATGAGGAAGAGGAGGAGGAGAGAAAATAAAGATCGATAAAATGATGAGCACATAGGGAGGCAAATTAAGTATGTGTGCAAACACTAAAACAAGAAATTCTGAGAATAACAGTCAACATTTATGTGGATAACTTATCATTAATAGCGTTGATTATCGATCGATTCTCGCTTGAGTCTGTAGCTGTTGTTGTCGTCGAATGAGTTGTCCACTAAGACACTTGAGAAGTTCCACCATTCTCAATGTGTTGATTGCCAATGATGACATAACTTTATTATTATTATTATTGTATCCTTTAATTCTTAGAGGAACATAGGGCTTCAGCCGTGCGTCTCCATTGAGTTCGGTTCCCCGCTAGAGTCTTCACCTGGCTCCATGTCTGCCCACACGTTTTCATCTCCTCTTCACATGACCTCCAAGTCACCCTCACCCTTGCACTGACGACCAACTCACCGCTTCCCTTTCGGGTTCCACTCGAGCAATGGCTTGTCTAGTGATGTCACTCACTTGATGGTTTCCTCAGAGTATGGCCAACCAATCCATCTCTATTTCTTCTTGCCTATTTGTTTCACAATGGGTTCCTGCTGTGTTGTTTCGCTCATTGCCAGAGATCCCTGTTACTGATCTTCTCTGGCCGGCCATCTGATCTTGAGTATTGAGCGAAGACAGTTAGCTGTTAATGAAGGTCTGTAGTTTGTTTGAGATGCTCAGTGCAAGTCTCTGATCCGTATAGTAGCACTGACTGACTTCACATTGGAGTTGAAAATCCGGGTCTTATTTTTCATGTTGAATGCTGAGAGTATATCTCCACGCAGACTTGAGAGTAGTGAAAGCTTGTCTTGCTTTGATATCCTCGTCAGCTTTGTTTGCCTGTAGTTGAAACGATGCCTTCCAGGTAGGTAAAGGAGGTTGTTTCTTTCAGGTTCCTTCCATTTATGCTGATCGTTGTCTGTTGTTGCTGTTGGTGGTGTTGCCCAGGAATCTTCATCATCACCTCTGTTTTCTCTATGTTCACCTGAAGTCCTATCTTCTCTGGATGCTTCTTCTGCCAACTTGTTGCTTTTCGCTCGCATATCTTCCAGTTTGTGGGAAATCAGACACGTATCATCGGCGAAGTTCAGATCCTCTAAGTTTTTTGTGTGAGTCCATTTTGTGCCTTTAGCACGGATTAAAAACAGACTGGGTGTAGTAGCATTGGCCAACTTCGGCCATCTCTGGCGTAGACGTGAGATAGCCAACTAATTGTCGACGTAAAGGACGTGTACACTGCACAGCAGCAGCAGTTCGCTCTGACTTCCTCCTTTATGGCTGTGAGTGAGACATGGACATTGAAAGTGGAAGAAGACATAAAAAGGCCGGTTAGCTGTCTGTCTCCCGTGTTAGGTGGTAGGTGTAATAGTGTGAGTAATATTGAGGTTAGGCTTCGGTCGAGTGTTAAGTAAAGGGGGAGGAAGTCAGATGGTGAGGTTGTGAAGGTGAATCAATTCAGATGTCTCGGGGGCATGTGTTACGTGTATGCCTAACCATCGTCTTCCTCGACAACGGTCAATGTTAGCTGATATAGGCTCCATCAGGTTGTAAAATAGTCGGGAGTGGTCAAACCAAGGCTTGAAATCAGTTCATGAAATCTTTAACGGTCAGTTTTGAGCCAGTCAGCCACATAGGGAAGTGTAGACTGCTTGGTTGGTCCTTAAGACACTAAGAACCAATTGCTGGAGACAACTGGTGATATGGCTCAAAATCGTTTCCATTGATGGGGCAGATGCATTCACTCGTTTGCGATCTATCATATCTATTAGACCCTTATTTTTCTTTCTGTATGTTACTGTGGTGAGAGCTGGCTACGAACACACCAAAATTGTGGACAACAATTTACGTCAATGTTCACCTCCCGAACCAGGGATATGAAAAAAACGCAATGATAAAGCTTAACCTTGAGGAACTCAACAACCAATCACAGCAGACTTAGCGTGGTTGGATACGATTCGCAGATATATATGGACTTAACTTTCTAAGAAACGGTCACAAGCAGTACAGAACAACCTTCAGCAGGAAAACAACGAATCAGAAGACGTTACCTCTCTGCCAACAATATCGCAAACAATAATGTACATAAAAATCTAGAAATATCTGTTGATTTTCTCAATAAACGATCTGTTTCCTGGCCCTTGTTTTCTGTCATTGCTTTTCTTTCTCCCTCATATTTCTGTTTGCTATCGTACTTCGAACCTGTTTTTCTCCTGTTTTGTTTTGCTTTGCATGCTGCATGAAGTGTGATAACTCGAAATTCTGCACTACTGTTCAAAAGTTCTATGTTGAAACCAGTCAGTCAGTAGGACAACCTAAGGATCCGTCTGACCTAATTTGTGAATTTGCAAGTATATGCATAAGGATTTTCATTCGAAGAAAAGAAAGAAGGATATGCGATGATGGCATTGCTGAGCACATTTTGAGAATTTTGATGTAGTTGTGTTCTCTGAGCTAGCTGAATGGTTTATCGTTGCGCAGCTTTCATGATTGCCCTGCTAGGAAACATCTTCAGCGCATACTTCAATTTGAATTGAAGTGAGCTTATAGATTTCTCCGCGAGTGTATTAGTCATCGCCCCCGGTGGGTGACCCTAAACGTGACTCCGGTTGTTTTTGTGTGTTTTCACACACTCTAGTTGGCTACTTGTATTGGTATTGGTGTTGGTTGTTTACTTGACCTGAACTTTGACCCCTTGTGTGTATGTGAGATTCCCTTCTTATCGTTTGGTAAATTTTGTCTAAGTCAGTGGGTCTATTAATTGACGATTCACTGGAATACCAGGAAGCCGTTCAGAAATACTCTAGCATTCTTGTTGTTTCCTCTGTCTACTATCTGAAAGTTTTCCAAGTCGAATTGATGTCCGTGGTTGTCTGTGAGCAGTGATATGAGGGAGTTGGTGTCATGTCTTATGACGGATAGTTTATGCTCATGGATGCAAAGACAAAGGGGACATCCACTTTGGCCAATGTAGTGATCTTCACAGTCGTTGCAATTTATTTTGTAGATGATGTTGGTTTTATCTTCTTTCGCTGTTGAGTCTTTTGGTTGACATAGAACCAGCTGAGTGAAGTGATTTTGTTGGTTTGTGTGCGACCTCAATTCCTAAAGGTTTGAAGAGTCTTGCAGTGATTTCTGAGATGTCATCTTTTATATATGGTAGGGAGATTTTCTTTGTGCTTTTCTTGGGGGCCTTTGATTTGATAGGTTGGCTTGGAGGGAATATGTCTTTTGATGCAGTTCCGTGGATATCCATCCATCCTTTTGGAAGACGTCCATGAGATATCTTTCTTCAATTTTCCTAGAGGTAGGTGACAGTGCAACAATGAGTCCTGGCTGGCCCTCTTGAACAGTGTTTGTATACAACTCCTTTTGTGTGTGTGTGTTATTTTTGAGAAACTTTCGACTGAGTGAGTGAATACGAACCACGAAATCGACGTTTTAACAACATTTAGGGTAAGCAAGATGTAGAAATAGTTCCAGTGTACTGTGTATCACTGAAGCCGTGGGGCTGTTGAACGGTTAAAACGGTTGCAAATCCTTCTCCAACATGGTGAGAAAATTTGATATTATTCTATTTAGTTGTAGGTTATTAATGCGAGTTTATCGACTCAAATACTTTGAATGCTGGTATATCCACTACGTATATCAAAAGACCAACGCTGAGGTGTACAGCGAATGTTCAGTTTTTATTCAATGGTCATAAATATACCGACAGGAAGTTGGAGTAACGATAGGTTCTCCAGTTGGTTCATTAATCACTGATAACTTCATCGGTCAGTCGGTCGGTTTTCGACATAGAACTTTGCACATATCTGCAGCAGTTCAAGTCGCCACACTCCCTCCATTTAGCACACAAAGCAAGAGAAGAAAGTAGAAGAAATGCATAATATAGACAGTAAACAGAGGTGTGAGACAAAGGAATAGTAATAACGGAGAACAAAACAGTTTCATTGGAAATCATGAGTCACAAGGAGTGGATGCATCTGCGCTGTCATTGAGAACGATCTTGAGCCATGTCACCAATTGTTTCCAACCATTGGTTTTGACCGTCCCGAGGACCCCAACCAGGAAGTCTACACCTTCCTACGTGGCTTAAGTTAACTGTTGTGGAATTCATTGACTGATGAGGCCATGTTTTCGTTTGACCTCCGCTAGCTGGCTCTTTTCCAGCCTGACCCTATATCAGCTAACATTGTCCGTCGAGGAAGGCGATGACTAGGCATACGTAACACGTGTCCTAACCATCTCAGTCGATATAATTTCACAGCCTAGTCGATTGATTTCCCCTCCCACCTACCTAGCACTCGACGCCTAGCGTCAATATTGCTCACCTTATTATACCACCTCACACGGGAGATAGAACGCAGACACCTATGATCGAAGACAGCTAATCTTTTCAAGCCTTCCACTCTCAATGGCCAGGTCACACTCACAGCCATAAAAGAAGACGGAGCGGACTGTTGAGCAGTACACACACCCTTTGGTCGATAGTCGGATACGCCAGAGACTAGCATATGCGAAACTAGCCCTCTGTATTCGTGCTGATATGATAACTTCATAGCGTACCTTGAATCAAATACCCTCCGACCAACAATCAAATGGTCAAAAGTTTGCAAGCGGTATCAATGGATGATACCTTTATTATCAATATCGGTAAAAAAAATACTAATTTAATCAAAACCCCGGAAATCTATAATAACGCTCTTCGACCAGTTGAATTCAAAAGTGGAGTCTGATCAGAAGATGAATTATCCTTCCTAGATGTCCAGTGTTAAACCAACTGGTTAACACTATTGTGGATAGACATATAATGTCATGTAAGAAACTAGCGAATACTATATCGTCAGACCCCGAGCATCCTCTCTATACGCAGCTCTCTCCTTGCATTTCATCTGGTAGAACTAGTGTAACGACAGAAGACAAGGGCCAGGCAACAGATCGTTTATTGAGGAAATCAAAGCATATTTATATATTTTCATGGACACTATAAAATATTAGTTAAGCAAGAAAACATAGTCTTCTGATTGGTTGTTTCTCACTTAAAGTTAATCTTTCATCTATTTGTGACTGTTTCTTGAATGTCAGATCATCTATATGTTGACTGTATCCACCTACGCAAAGTCTGCTGTGGTCGGTTTTGAATCAGTCTTGTTCATATTTTCTCACGACCAATCTTGAGAACGTAAACATTGACGTAAATTACTGTCTACCAATTTGGCTAGTAGACAGCTCTCACCACACTAGAAGTAGCTATAGGAGGCTATATGCTAGGACTACCATGTACAAAACTTCCACAATACTTTATCTGGCACAGCTGTTATGTGATGAGAAATCCGTCAGGTATGACACGATCAATTTACTGAGGCACTCTAATAAATAGTTCCCATTAGTTTTTGTTTTCCTTTCTGTGTTGCTATTACATTGTTGTTCACATCTATTACACACTAATTTTATATTTCATATTCCTGTGGTGCATTGTTTTATTTATCTATTTTCTATTGTTGTTGTTGCTTCTGTTTTTAAAATCTTATAAAATTTATGAGGTAACTAGATGCAATATTGTAATGCACGCTGAAAATTCCATACCTGTACCACAAATACTGTTTGGAATAAAGCTATTATTATTATTATAAAAGACGATCGGATGGAAGTCTACAAAGATCAATCTAGCGAAAATATTCATTCAGACATCTATAAAACACAAAATAATTGAGCAAAGAATATCCTTTTCGATAATTTCCTCTTCTGGCTCTACAATTATATATGCATGTTTATATACATAGAATATTCTAGATTAGTAGTCAATAACAATATTAGTGTTTTTTAAATAATACCGATTTGTAAAGTAAGATTACAATGGAATTACTGTTTATTAAAGATGCTTAAATTATTATAATAATAATAAAGATATAATAGGGAATAGGATATCAACTAAAATTAACGAAAATTCCACAAAAATTGAGGATCATTCAAACCTTGATTGACGGCAAAGGTAAGGATAGTATCTGAACTAACTTCTTTTGGACGCATAAATTAGGCTTCTTAATCTGGATTCCAACAGCTAGCGTCGAAAATATTTAGTAAACGAACTCTTAAGGTGAAGTAAAGATTAGTTGGAATGCGGTAAATGACATTGAAAGCCACCTTGTTAACATAAATCTTGTGTTCTGTATCCACAATATGAGATAGAATAGGTCTATGTGAATATATTTTATTTGTCCTTTACTTAACCAGTCACGCAGGATGATGTTCGGAAATCCGACGAAAAACAAGCCTAAACGTACGGCTTATGCAACTAACTGACTCACTTCACAGGCGGCAGTTAAATTGGTATTTACACATGGAAGAGGAGAAATTAGGCAGTTTGTCTTTTATTCCCGAAAGCGGAAGAGGAGTGGTTTTAAAGATACAGCGTAATTCATCAGCAGGGAATGCTCTTTATACCGCATTTCTAAGGCGATGTGTTAGTATCTCACTGGTTTTGTCTCCTAGGAACTGCATCTGTAAGAATAAGGCCTTTTTGGAACTGCTGGTAACTTGGGCTGCTTTGGTTTCAGATTCAGATTCTTATCAATAAACGTTTCTAGATAACCGTTTTCACTCAGCAACCGTTTAATATTATTAAGTTCCTCATCAAGACAATCATCCGAGCAGATTGCTCTTGCTCTGTGGTGGACCAAGCACTTTATCAGACTGCCTTGGTATTTCAAGCGCACGAAGCTGAAAAAATGAATATACTGACCAGTTGATGTAGGTTCTCTATATACACTTCTTATTGTGCCATCCTCTTTTCTGGTTATAAGGACGTCTAGAAATGAAATACTAGAGTCTTTTTATTTCTCAATAGTGAACATCGTTAAATGTTTCTAAGATGTTCTTTGCTTCATCCTCATTTTTCATCATAACCAAAAATGCATCATCCATGTACCGACAATAGAATTCAAGTTCATCAATATCACCTTTCAAAGGCTCATTTTCTAGTTTCGCAAGGAAAATGTCGGCTAGAATGGGTCTTACTGGTGACCCCATTGGCACACCATCGATTTGTCTATATAGTTCCTTATTAAATAAAAAGTGGGCATTCACTGTGCATTTCAACAGAAGCTCTTTTATAAAAGTTATAGGAATGCCAACATCGATGCTTCGTCTTATGAGTTCTTCGCATACAAAGTCCACTATTTCCATTAATGAAACATTGTTGAATAAGGAAGATATGATATCATGAATTTATTGTCAACATTTAAATCTTTTATCCTTTCAACAAATCCAAAAGTATCCTTTACATTGTGTTTCATCGACTCTGTATGAATTGGGCTGTAAGAGCTCGACTAACCATTTGGCTACGGGATGGTATGGTGAATTTAACATATCTAGAGCAATGGTCGAAGTGGTACACCATTTTTGTGCACTTTAGGCGAGCCATATAATCTTAGTGTGAACGTTACAGTGGGTTTCAGTGATGTATACTGACTTTGTAGAGCCAGTAGAGGAAGTTATCAAAAAAAAAATTCTTTGCTCAATTATTTTGTGTTTTAAAGATCAATCTACTGTAAGCCAAAATCGAATATGGCTAGCTGACAAACTGTTACGGTTTTTTTCCTATGAGCAGAAAATGAAATCTCCGCGCTTCACTTACGACGAGAATCTGCTTCATATGCACAGAAGATACATTGAATGGGAAATTAGAATCCTTCAGAAACACTGTAATTGGAAATGTATATCCAACCTCCTTCATCGAAAAACACATGAAGTGGAAGACCGTTGCTCCGCGAAGCCTGGATGTACTGAAAAAAAATAACGAATTCTGAATTTGCAATTCACAGAAACTGTCTGTTGACAGCAGTTCAAAGAATGTTCTGTCCTGCATCTTTACGCCACACCTTCTCCATATATACTTTTGTTCACCGAAACGTCAATATTCAGATTTTGCCAACTTCAATGTGTTTGTTAATTCCTTTCTTAGCTGTTCTTTGCTATTCTTTCTTTTTTGTTCAACTTTATACTACTTACCATTAGTAAGTAGTATGAATATATTTTTTAAATTCTTGAAAACGAGTTTGAAGTTAAACTCAATGTAATGATGATTTATATGATGCATAGTAATTCATTGCTTCTTCTTCTTATTGTTTCCTTTAGTTCCTAGAGGAACATAGGGCTTCAGCCGCACATCTCTATTGTGTTCGGTTCTCTGCCAACGTTTTCATCACCTGGCTCCACGTCTGCCCACATGCTTTCATCTCCTCTTCTCATGACCTCCTACATGTCATCCCACCCTCGACGACCAACTCGCCGCTTCCCATTCGATGGGTTCCACTCGAGCAACGGCCTGGCGTGTGATGTCACTCACTTGATGGTTTGTTTTCTCAGAGTATGGCCAATCCAATCCACCTCCATTTCTTCCTGCATATTTGTTGCACAATTGGTTCCTGCTGGGTTGGTTCATTCATTGCCAGAGATCGCTGTTGCTGATGTTTTCTGGCTAGTCATTTGATCTTGAGCTGAGTATTGAGCGAAGACAGCTGTTGATGAAGGTCTGTAGTTTGTTCGAAGTGCTCTTCATGTCGCGCTAAGTCTCTGATCCGTATAGTAAGTAGCACTGACTTCACACTGGAGTTATGCTTTAATGTCAGTAAAAAGTCTGAGCATTGTGGAATAGATCAAATAAAGTATAGTTATATTTCACTGGTTTACACACAATGATAGGTTTTTGTTTTTGGTAATATTTCGAGCAAAATTACTGCCCGTGTTCACACCACTGTTGGAATTGTTTAGTTTTTTATTCACACATTTATGATTTGTACTCATTTATATAGTTCATTTCTATTTTTTGTTCATTCATTTTTGTGTATTCAGAATTATATTCCAGGTTGTTGACAGTTAGATGTGCTGCTGAGTCACCCTTGTTACGTGTATCCGTTGTGACCTTAATGAATATAGATTCTGTTCTAAGTCTCTCTTTCCATTTGTTCATATTAGTTCATATTTAGAATACAAACATTGTTCCAATCGATATTGTGGTTTTTGTCCCATGTTGCATGTGCAGCTATAGATGAATTTTCTTCTAAATTCTGGTGAGCTTGTGTTCCTGTTGGTTGACCTTTAGTTAGGCAGGTTTTTATGTTCATTCACTCTTATTTTGAGTGATCTGGACGTTTGATCCACATATTTAGTCGGAAACTCGGCACAAGATATTTTGTAAACCAAATTGTTTTTATCCATCATTTTTATTGGATCTTTCAGTTGATTTATCTTATTTTTAATTAGATTCGTCGGTTTAAACGTTGTGCGAATCCCAATATTTTTGAGGTTTCTTCGAATTGCCTCTGATGTACCATTTTTGTGTGGTATTGTGATTGTCTTTTTTTGCCTTCCTCCTACTTGACATTCTCTGGAACCTAATAAAGTTTTTAAAGACGCCGCTGATGGAAACTTCAGCATTAGGCTATAGTTTACACCAGAAAACGTCAACAACAAAAAAATCTCCAAAAATAAAAGGCGTTTTTTTACACACACCACTACTTACCCGAAAATATTTCACCCGTAAAAAATGCAATCTCAACAAATTCTCCAACTGTAAATCTGGTTTCGATCGATTAATAAAGACAACTTCCACGTCTGATATTTGCCTGTCTTCATGTAGAAAATCGTTTAAAAATGTTCTCACCGAATCCGTTGTAATATCTCCACAGACAACAATATGCGATTTACCCTCACGTTTCTTATACACCCCAGAATATTTACTAACATTGAAAAACATATCAACAATTTCAGGAATAGCACTCGCGAATGTCGCCAAAGCGAATAGAATGAATAAGGAGATGAAAGCACGACCAAGATATGTCTGCGGTACAATATCACCATACCCAACAGTTGACATTGTTACAATTGTAAAATACAAAGAAGCTGTATACGCCAACGGTTGGCTAACATTATACACACTCGATCCAAACAGATTCCCAGTATTCTCAAACAAATGGAAGCAACCAGCCCCGGCGAACCATATCGATATGAACAGGGTACACAATTGACACATACGTAGACTTGACGCTGATTTAATCACATTCAAATTGTTCAACACTTCGGGTAGATTACACAAACGAAATATCCGTACAAAACGAAAACCAATCCATGTACGTTTAATAAAAAAACCAACCAATGTCGGTGGAACAGTCAAGTAATCCAATATTGAGTACCATTCAATCCAAAAGATTAGTGCATCCGAGGAGGCAATCAATCGTACAATGAAATGCAACAGGAAAAAGATATTCATTGCAAAATCGAGTAGACGTAGGCGTCTACCCTTGTGACCGCATTTTTCAATTTCTAATGGCCATACAGTTGCTTCATAAGCGTATATACTAAATGATGTTAAACTGAATATCATTGATAAAGCGATGAACATCCGTCCAGGTATCCAATCATAACTGACCAGTCGGATAGCCCACCAACGACCTTTAATAAATGCAAGTTGAATGGTGGTTGTCCACCAGCGAGAACAACGTGAACACAGAGACTGATTATTATTATTATGAGGTGTAAGAGTAGTAATGCTTTGTTGATCGTATTTTTCTAATGTCACTGAACTGAAACGATTATTTTTATTGATTGAATTCAGTTCAAAGTTCTCATTCTTTTTCTTCTCATTGGAAGGATGTGTTGTGTGAATTTCAGAATGATGGGCAGCAGCGGTGGAGATTGTTGATTTATTTTGTAAATATACAATTACACGTATTAATATTCGATAGAGTAGTATGATAATTATTCCGCCAAAGAAACAGCCTAACGATATACCGAAAAATACACCCCACAGACGTTTCTCCATACACTCTTCATGATGTTTATAATTTGCCATGAGAAGAGCTTTCTGTTTACGATGCATTGGCATAATTTGAAGGGAATTTTGAATTGATAAACACAAAAAAAAAATGAAAAATAAAGAGGTAGAAGACTGTCAACAGTAATGGAAGGGATGATCCGTGTCGACGTCACCTGATGATGTTATCTGACAATGAAAATAGGAAAAGGTTAACAAGTACACGTTAGTGATTTGATAAACTCAATAGATTTATTCAATACAAATCATAAACATACAGGAAACGTACATGGAACGGACAACTAACTAATAATTTTTACAGTTGGGTGCCTATCTCCAGGAAAAGGAACTTAATTCATTCGCTCTGCTCTAGGATAAGGAAAATTTGTAGTTCTGATTCCGTTGACTCGGAACTTGACTTCTTAAAAGCCACTCTCACAGAAAACGGTTACCCTAACCGATTTATTGACAGCAACATGAAAGATAAGCAGTCTAAACTGGTCACCGACACAGTTCCAAAGAAAACCTTATTCATGAACTTTGAATTCGAAGGTGATCAAGCTTCAGATATGCTCAAAATCGTCTCTCTAAAGCAGTCAGTAAGACGTTCTATGCAGCAAAAATTACATATGACATTCACTAGCCGCAAGTTGTTCTCCATTCCTGTAAAAGATAAGCTCCCCCGTCTGGCTGCCTCCATGTGCATCTATCAGTTCACCTGCTCTTGTGGAGCAAGGTATATTGGCCGTAGCCAGAGGACGTCGTTTTCCACACGGATACGAGAACATATTCCAGCTGCATGGTTTTACAAGGGAGAAAGAAAGTGTGTGCGAAGCTCTACTCCAGAACACCTGATCGACTTCTGTCACTCTGTCAACCCTGACCATGATTTTAAGATCATATATAGAATCCATGCTAACTTGCCAGCCGCGTTTTCTTCGTTACAGACTTCTAAAGACATCTAAGGCCTTGGCCATTCATGACTTTAAGCCAGACAGGTCTTTGTGTACAAAAGAAGTATGTACAATCCCTACTTCTGCCTTGGCCATAGAGGGATAGACATTTATTTATTTATGTATTTTGTTTATTTAGTTATTCCATGTACTTTTCCCTCATTACTACCATTATTATTATTATTATTATTATTATTACTATTCTCACTCTGAATTGTTTCTACTTGTCCCACTTGTCATTCTAAATCCGAATTTTTTTCACATATATAGAATTCTATCTTATCAAATTTCACACCATTTTATGTAACATTTTATATTCGTCTACTAATCTTATAATTATGTACCCCTTTCCAACATCTATACACCTTATGTATTATTCTATATACGACATTAATTATTTTGCCACTTGACATTAAACTACGATTATAATCACAAATATTTTAATTGCATTTCATACTACTGTTATTATTTCATGTATTCACACCTTTGACCTAATTCCCTCACCGGATATAATTTTTATAAAAACCATATATATACGATTGTACAGCTTGATAATAAATTCGTTGTTGAAAAGAGTCTCTTCGCTGAATATTGTGTTCTTAAATAAAAAAAACAAGACATAGTTTGATGACATTTGATTGATTTCAAGGTCGATGACGAAATGATATCCCCCACCTGGAGGATTATAACGTTAATAAACGGGGAGTACTGGACAGCTGTCTCACCCTATTTGAGACCCTTCAGCAGTACGCACCTCTGACCCCATAGACTGGGGATTGAGCCAAGGGCTTTCAGGTTGCGATGTGAGGAGAGTTCGACAGCCCGTGAATTCTAGTTTTTTTCAGCCAGCATCAGCGCGAGTATTTGCCGTCACGCTCAACTTGGTGAGTAGAGCTAGTCACGACTTTTAACTATAACTTTAGGTTACTTCAACCTTCTGTCATTCAATAGCAAGTAAGAGATTAATTTTCAAGTGTCGGTTAGCTGGGATAACGAAGTAACTTCAGTTATTCACACATGATTCAACCGGGAATCAAAATCGTAAGAGGTGGGGACAGCTGAACGATGTATGAGGGCAAGTACTTGATGATAACACTGTTTGTCTGTCTGTCGCACCACATGTCACGAATAGGCAGAATTTAGAATTTGTGGGACACAGGGTTCCATCGTACTGCTTGGATAGTCGACAAGCTTAGCGTCGTAACCTGAAAGTCTTTGATTTGATCTCCAGTGTGTGTGTGTGTGTGTGTGGAGGAGGGTAGGATTGTGGGTGTGTACTTCCGAAGAGTTTCTAAATGTAACGACAGAAGACAAGGGCCAGGCAACAGATGGTTTATTTAGAAAATCAACAGATATTTATAAATTTTCATGTACATTACCATACGCGTTATTGTATGCAGAGAAGCAACCTCCTCAGATTGATTATTTTCTTGCTGGCCGTTTCTTACAAATTTAAGCCATTTATCTGCGAATCGTATTCGCATGCGTTAAGTCTGCTGTGATTGGTCGGTGAGTTCCTCAAGGTTAGGCTTGCTTTGTTATTGTTTTTTCTCATGACCCTGATTCAGGACGTAAACATTGATGTAAACTGTTGTCTATAATTTTGCCTTCTGGACAGCTCTCACCACAAAACTAGGACGAAAGAGCTGCCCAGTACATTCTGTTGGTTTTCTAACAGTTCCCTAAATTCTGATATCAGTTTGTGATGAAACTTGAAAGCGACCAAATCTCTACAAATTACCACATGAAAAGTAATCGAACGCTCAATGAAAACTGATTAAAAAATGAAGTTGCCGGGAGATTTACTGCAAAGGAGTGACAAGTGAAGACCACCAGTTCGGGTGTGAGGATTTACACTTGCCTATGACAGTGGCTGCCTGTCACAATAAAATCGCAAATTTACAGAAGTTATAATTCATAGGCTGACCATTAAATCGGTTCCGACAGATTCTAGAACATAGGCATTCCTACGGGCGTCCAACAATAATTATATTTCTTGACCTAAAGGCGGCATGCGATTCTGTCGACCGAGAGGTTCTCTGGCGATGCTTGGCTGTAAAGGGAATACCGAGAAAATACATTGCACTGACCAAGGCACTCGCTCTACTCGAACTCATGCAGCCAGGTGAGGGCTTATGGCGAGTTGTCATCTGAAGTGGTGACGACTAGTGGTGTCCGTCAGCGAGGAATGCCCAATATCCCCATTTCTATTCAAATTCATCATAGATGTACTAATGGACTTAACCCTAACTCACTTCAGCGACTCAGGGATTGACTTGCTACCAGGGAATAATCTCGTTGACTTAGAACATGCATATGATATAGTCCTTCTAGATGAAGACGCTGACAAAATGCAGAGTCTTCTGAACACTTTGAATTGCAATCTTCGAATGTTTGGCATGCGATTCGCTCCTGCCAAATGTAAGATGATGTTACAGGATTGTACTACACCGACTCCTAGATTAGAAATAGGAAGTGAAGTAGTAGAGCACGTTGACCACCTCACTTATTTGGGAAGCATCATCAGAAAACGCCAACGGGTTGATCGCTGATGAAATCTCAGCACGGATACAGAGGGCTAGTTTCGCATATGCCAGTTTACGCCGTCTCTGGCGTAGACGTGATATCCGGCTGGCTATCCATCAAAGGACGTGTGTCCTACTCAGCAGTCAGCTCCGTCCTCCTTTATGGCTGTGAGTGTGACCTGGTCATTGAGAGTGGAAGACATGAAAAGATTAGCTGTCTTCGATCATAGGTGCCTGCATTCTATCTCCCATGTTAAGTGGTGGTATAATAGGGTGAACAATATTGAGCGTAGGCGTCGAGTTTTAGTTAAGGAGGGGAAATTAATAAACTAGGCTGTGAAGCTACATCGACTGAGATAGTTAGGACATGTGTTACGTATGCCTAGTCATCACTTTCCTCGATGGGCAATGTTAGCCGACATAGGGTCAGGTTGGAAAAGACCTCGTGGTGGTGGTCAAACCAAAACATGGCCTCATGAGTCAATGAAATCCACAACAATTAGTTTAAGCCAGCCACATAGGAAGGTGTAGATTGGCTTCCTGGTTGGGGTCCTCGGGACGGTAAAAACCAATGAAGGCTGGAGACAATTGGTGACATGGCTCAAAATCGTTATCAATGGCTGGTGCAGATGCATCCACTCCTTGTGACTTATGATTTCCAATGAAACTGTTTTGTTCTTCGTTATAACTATTCCTTTGTCTCACACCTCTGATTACTGTCTTTGTTTTGCATTTCTTTTTACTTTCTTCTCTTGCTTTGTGTGCTACATGGGTGGAGAGTGGCGACTTGAACTGCCACACATCGGTGCAAAGTTCTATGTCAAAAACAGACAGACAGACAAATCGGCTCCCAGTGGTTAAATTGTCTACGAGCTTTCCGTGTGACTGGAAGGTCATAGGTTTGAAACCCGGTGGATGCATACTGCCGATGAGATCCAAACTAGACTGACAAAGTAGCTGTCCAGTACTCCCTGGTTTTCAATGGTTCTCTAACCGGAAACAAATAGAATCCATACAAAACAATTCTTGAAAATTGATCTGATGCTCGTTAGTGAGCGGCTGAGAGACGACGAAGTTACCTAAAGTTCTAGTGAGAAGTCATGACCAGTGGGGTCCACCCTGTCGAGAGTAAAGACAAATACTTGCCACCAATGACATTGGCTGGTGCCAGGCCAGGCGCAGTAAAATCACGAATTTATACAAGTTAGCATTCACAGGCCGTTAAATTCCGGCCCAAGTGAACTGAATAGTGAAGAGACATGGCCTCGTAATATGAAGATCCCTAAACGGGGTGGAAATGCTGTCTACTACTTCCTGCTAGTCTTCATGTAATCTTCCAACCAATGTCTAACACACAGTTTTCCCATTAGAACTCAAGTCGACTGCCTGCCTTGTGTGAGATCCCCCTCAACAATCCAATACATCTCCATTTGTTTTGTCATTCCTTCACGTTCCCAGTGGAACATAGGGGGCTTCAAGCTAGAGCTCTTTTGAAGTTTCGACAGCAATGGTGTTCCTTTTTACAGGATGGGGTTGCTAGCCACCGGTATGCCCAACCTTCCCTATTTACCAATCTTATTACTGGCTTAGCGAG